AAGGCCCCGGAAGCCCGGCTGCCCCGCCCCCTCTCGCTGGAGCCCCGCCCGCCTTCCGACGGGGGTGCGGCTCCAGGAAACGGCGCGCTCGCTGCTCTGCGCTCCAGCGACCCGACGCGCCCTGGGCGACCCCGCCAACTCGGCCGGACCCACAGGCGGCAGTCCGGACAGTGGCCCCGTGTCTGAGCCTCAGACACCTCGGCATAGACGGGGCGGGCAGCGTGGCTGGGAGCCCGGGAGGCCATGGGGACCTGGGCGGGGCCAGCGGTCGCGAGCCAGCGGGAGCCCCGAGTCTGAGGAGCGGCTGCAGGGGCCATGACCTCGGTGTGGAAACGCCTGCAGCGCGTGGGCAAGCGGGCCGCCAAGTTCCAGTTTGTGGCCTGTTACCACGAGCTGGTGGTGGAGTGCACCAAGAAATGGTGAGTGGAGGGAGGCCTCGGGGACCCCCAGACTGGCGGGGACCCCATCGGGCCTTGGGAGCCTGAGAGAACCCTGTCCCCAGCCCAATGGCTGAAGCGGCCCCTACCCCAGCTTGGGCTCTGCTGTCCAAGCACAGACACTCAGAAGGGCCCTTGCAGCTTGTGGGACCCCTAGAGCTGGGGGGTACAGGAGCTTTGGGGGAGTGGAGGTAGGGACTTCCCGGCCTGAGAATCTCTGTGCCCACACTTCCCTCAGCTGCGCTCAGGGAGGGGGGAAGAGAGGCCTCATGTTTTGGGCCAGAGGGACAGCTCAAGGTGGTGAGTTTTGAGGTGTGGGGCAGCCAGGCTGAGGCAGAAGCCTTCACGGACCTTAATCCAGCTCAGAGCAAGGATGCTGCCCCCTCCTTCCCCTGCCCACTTGTTGAGCCAGAGGACTCCCCCCCTTCAGCCAGACTGGGCCTGGGAGGCTGGATTCATCTCCACAATGTCCTTAAAAGGGGAAACTGAGCACTGGGAGGGATGAGGAGGTGGGCGGGAGTGGCTTAAAGGAGCCTGAGAGCCTAGGAGGTCGTGGGTCTGGGAAGAGGGCCTAGAGAAGACGAGGTGGCCCGGTGGGGCTGCAGGACCTGGCCTGGCCTGCCAAAGGATCCAGGGGCATCTCATTCACATGTCCCCACCGCAGCTGCCTAGGCCCCTGCGTCACACCCTAAATATATGTGTTCACTGGTGTCAGCTTCCCTTGGCTGGATTAGGGCACAGCTGAGGGGATCTTACCCGCCAGGCGGGGGCTAAATTTAGGCTCCCAAGAGGAAGGGCTGCTGGGGCAGGAAGGGAACTTGGGGTCCCTTAGGTAGCTGCCATGTTCCTGGTCTTGACTGGGCCAGCCAGAGGGCTGTTCAGCCCTTTCAGCAAGGCCCAGAGAGGACAGGGGCTGCTGGGGTAACAGCACAGGGATGGTACATGAACTCTGGCTTCTCCCGTCTACCCCACCACCCTGAGTAAGGTCAGCAGGAGACTGTGCATGGTCCTGGACAGCAAGCCAAAGGTGTGGGCAATGTCAACACATGTGAATCACGGGGCACATGGGCTTCTGATCCTGGAGCCCAGGTTAGGAAGCTGCCCCTGTCCAGGTCCAAGCTCCTCAGGAGGGTGTGCCTAGCCTGAGTCAGGCTGCTTGGCCAGGCCCCGCCCTCCCTAGGCACCCCTTGTCCGCTTCCCCTTTCTGAGAAGGCCCCATGGATACCCTTGCTCAACCATCGCTGTAGTTTGGGGTTGGGGAAAGGAACATGGCTCTAGGCCAGAGGCCTCTAGGGTCAGCTGTGTGACCTTGCCTACCCCCCAATCTCTCTGGGTTTCAGCATCCTCAGGGGTTGACAGATGAGCCATTTGTCTTGGCTCAGACTCCAGAGGGGCAGTGAACTGGGTGAACTCACGTGTCCTGGCATGGGACTGGCTACAGGGAAGGAGGGCTCTCGTGCTGCCCTTAACCATCCCCACCCTCCTGGGCAGTAGTTGGACACTAACCCAAAGGGGCCCTCTTCCTCCAATGCCCAGCCATTTGTCTGCTCTGTGTCTGGGACTGGGCCCTGCACAGGTGACTCTCTCCTGTTCATTTGTCTCTGTCTCCTCACATCTCTGCCTTTCCTCTGAGTCTGCCTGGCATATGCTGTTTAGCTTAGGTAGAACCTGGAAGTCTTCCTTGCTGCCCCTCACAGAGTCAGGGGCCCTGCAAAGCTAGGGTCCAAGGCTCTGGGTTTGAGAGGTGGGAAGCATGGCTGACTCTCCGGACCCCTCGGCCCAGCAAAGACTGGGCATAGAAGGCCCTGGGAGGGCATCTAATAACAAGCAGACCCTCTGCCTCTCTGACCCCCTCCTCCCCTGTTCCCCACTATGACGCCCGGGCTTCCCCCCAAACTTGGACTTTATACTGACCATTCTTTCTACCTGGAGCCCTAGCACAGCTCATCCCTCCAATTATGCCTGCGCTCCCACACCCAATCCTAAGGAAACCCTAGGGGCTCTCTCCCTTCTCCCTGAAGCCAGCTTAATTTCTTTTTCTTCCTGATTGGCACTCTTCCCCCACCTTTGTTGTCCTGAGCCCCAGAAGGGTCTTGCCTCTGTTTTGCGCTGCTCTGCCCCTAAACTGGACTGAGTATATAGTATGCACTCCACAAATA